AAAAAATGTTGCAAAAGTGTGACAGCAAAAGCAGGCTGGCTAGAAAAAGAAGAAGCAGTGGAAAAAAAACACGTTTAAATGTCAATGATTTTAATGGGCGGACGCGCAAAAATCTTGAGCCAGTTTTGTGTTTATTACGTTGACAAAGCTCCTCAGGGAAAAGCTCACAGGAGACCCCCTAAAGCGCCCTCCCCTCCCCTGTTTTCCCCCCATTTTCTCCCGCAGTCCTTTTTGCCGTTTTCCCCATTTGAACTCGCTGCGTTTGTAAGGTCATGGAACTTGTCTGCATTGACTTTGAGTGTGGTTGTGGAAATGGAAAACCCCCTTTCGGTTGGAAATAAAAACTTTTCCCATTCGCCGTCCCTTTCTGCCGCCGGCTACCTGTCTCCCACTCTCTCTCTCTCTCTCTCTCTCTCTCTCTGACCCTACCGTGTCGACAAACTGTTTTCATTTTGCGCCGCTACGCGCTTTTTGATGCCGCCGCCAACAAGGCAAACAGTTGCTCCTGCTCCTGTTTCTGTTTTCCCCCACCGCTTTTCACGGTGAGTTTTTCAATTGATTTTCGCGGTTTGCTTTGGCCAAGGCCACAGCATGGGTGATGGGTGGTTATGGTGGGTGGGTGTAGGATGGTTGACTGTTGCACCTGGGAGCCCTTCGAGTTTGTTGCTGCTGCTTCAACGCTTCTTTGTGCCAGTGCACCTGCGGAGGGCAGATCGCAGAGGGGCTTCCCCGAAAAAGAGGAAATGCCTCCCCTCAGAAAGTTTAAGTGCTTTGTGGTTGGCAATTTTTCCTTTTTTGGCTTTTCCACATTCCGCTTCTTATGCACCCTTCCTCCCTCTCTCGCTTTTTTTCACATTTTTCCAAGCAGCGATTTTGAGCCGTTTTGTATGAAGAGACCTCTTCTTTGGTGCTGGTTTTTTGCCTTTGATTGATTGGTTGGCCTCCATCGGGGCGATAAGCTATCGATTAGCATTCTCTTTTTCCTGGCAACGATGCTGGCTTTCGGTCATTGTTTGGTTAATTGCTCATCATCATTATCTTGAGTTCAATGCAGGACTTACTTCCTCCACCGCGGCTTTTGTTCCTCTGTGTAAACTGTACTTGTGAGCTTTGTTGGCTGTTAAAAAGTTTATAGCTTTGTGTTTGTGATTCCCTACCAAAGATGTTATTAATCCGAAATAAAAGTTCTTTTACGTGCCAGACATTCATCTCTAATCAGCCATGAATGGTTATACAACGCAGCTTCTTAGATTCTTGGAATATTGCAAATGAGATCATTCCTTCGAGACCCGAGACGACTTGAGATTCCCACCTTCTTGGAAACCCACACCTTGCGCGGTTTGTTTGCCTTGGGTGTCGACTGTACTGCGAGTAGCCGGCAACACTTGCTACTTATTTGCTCGTTGGTGTCGTCTTCGTCTTTGGCTTGTTTGTTTAATTAAAACAGTCAGGTTGTCGTGGTCGTTGGCGTTGTCGTTGTCGTCGTGGTCTTAGTTGATTTTTCTTTAGCTGTTTTGCTCATGTTGCTGCCTTGCCTGCCGGGCTACCAACTTTGGTAACAGCTTCCGCCCCGACGACCTCTTTAGTGCAGTGAAGCGCAGCCATTCACCGATCGGATCGGTGGATCTCTCCGCTCACAGAGTTTTTCCCCCAACTTCTCTGCATTCTGAAGTCTTTGGCAAACATGGCCAGGAAAGTCAGAGCCAGATCTGTTAGCCAGTTGGCGGGGAACTAGAGAGCTTGGACAAACATCGTTGAGACTGGCTGGCAGCGTGATTTTGTATAAATTCTTCAAACGGAATGATTGGCAAAAAGCCAGGCATTCGGGGCGAGTAATAATTTGTTACTCTTAACGAGCTTGTAGCGTCTGAGCCGCACGCTTGTTAACAATTAAATAAACAATATGAGTCTGCACTAAATACGCTGAGGGAGAAACGACAAATCATTAAGCAAACATGGCCCAGTCGATCGGCCAAATACAAACATTTGGCTACCACTCGGAGAGGCTGAGAAGCGGAGAAGCGGAGAATCTGAGAACCGTATAAGCTGAGACTGAGAGAATCTCGGAGATGTGATCCATTCGTCACCGCCACTTGAGACATTTTTCTCTATTAAAAATAATATTTATGCATTCTGCTTACTTATACTTTTTCCCCGTTCATGCTCCACTCGAGAGAAGCACGTTTGCTATTATTTCCAGGCCATTTCCCATGAACACATCCACCTATTAGTGGTAGTTGTTTTGCCGGCAATCAGAATACAGGGTCGGACCCAGAAGGAGTCCAAGATCTCCCTTGTACCTTGTACACTCCATCGTCCATCCCCCATCCCCATCCCATTGTTGACCACTTGAGGCTTTAATAACCAGAGCAAGTTGCGCTGCTTTCGGGCCACCACACTCACCACTGGCCAAATGTGGAAGCCGTTGTGAACGTGGCTTTTCCATATCGAAACACATGTACGCATTTTCTTTTCTCCTCTTTACTCCTTCCCATTTCCATTCGGCTTCAGAGTCGGGTCTGCCATTTTAGTCACGTTCGCTGCATTTCAATATGATTTTCCTGCGTCGGACAAACCAATTAGACTTTTCCCTCTTTCCGTTCGGTGATTGTCGCATTGTTTCGGCTTACGGCTAATTTTCACTCTCGGTTGCGAGAAAAGCTTGGTGTCAACTGGCATTGGGAAAATGTTAATTCGTGGGGTGAGGCTTGGAAATTAAAGGGACTTACAGAGGTAATTCGAATGGCTGTTCGAAGCTTGTTTGGTTGTAACACAGATGTAGTTTTAAGAAAGAGTTTGAACTTTAAGAACTATCCAATGGATTAACTTATATGAAAACGATTTTCCCTAACAAATAACGCATTTCAAAAGCGTTAGGTAACCTTTAACCACTCTTTAGCCTTGATGTACGACAAACTCATCTGGGTTTTGTTCATTTTCCATTAGCTGACTTAGTCATTTGAGTAGGAGAACATTGCGTAAGCATCACCGCAACCGATAGACGCCTCCATCTACATATTCGCAGATATACATTATAGAATGTATCCACTGTAATCGATAGCCGACTCACGCCTGGCATTGTTTCTCACGATCCGATTGCCCGGTGCCCACATTTCGATATTGGATTTCAACGTTTATTTTTGGCGCTACCCTCGAGTTGTAATCACAACACTTGGGCTTTTGCCCCGCCCACTCGCTGTCCTAGAAACATTTTCCGTGGCGTATTTACTTAATTATTTTGAAGTGCTCGGCAAACATTTTAACACGAAAAATGTTTCAGTGAGAGCCGCACTCTGCAACTTATTTTCGGGGTTGTATCGGACGGGAAAATGGGAATGATGGACGCCGACTAACGCACACAAATGTTATTAATTAAAATGTCATTCATTCAGAAAAACAATGAAAGGACTTTCAGCGCTTAACAAAGGAATTGGGGAGTGAAAAGTGTTTGGGGAAGTTGAGGAGGCCGAGGACCATGTTTTATTTGCAGCTGTTGTTGACAGTTTTTCCAAGAGCTAACAGCTAAGAGCTATGAGCTGAGAGCCAAGGGCTGGCTGAAAAGCTTTAAAGCTGCTACTTTCCTCTGGACCACACGCAGCTGGGATCCCAAACTGAAACTGAAGCTGGCCACAAAAGCCGCAAATATGTATGTCACTTGACACTTGCTAAAAACTAAACTAAAACTGTATCTCGTAGATAAATTTCGTGACTTTGAGCGCACAGAAGCTGCTGGCGAGTAAATTGCCCTTCACTTCAGTCTGTCCAGCTGTCAATTTTTGGTATCTCCGGGTTTCTTGGCTTTTGGAGCAGCTGCTACTGCTTGACTTGACCACAAACCACTGGCTGGATATCGATATCGATATCGCCAGCTGCCAAGCCATAGTTATCCCCATTCCCATTCCCATTCCCTCCAACCAAAAAACATAAAGAAGAGGTGTCACCCATATAATATTTATTATCCCGTCGCCGTTGAGTGGAAACTTGACTTGATGGGTGGCTTTGCAGCCTCCATTTTGACTGCTCCTCAAGTGAGCAATTGTCTTGAATTAATTTCTGCCTCATCACATCCAATCCATCAGCGTTTCACACCCTTCTTCGGATGGGAAACCAAAGCAAACACTTTCATCAAGCACACACTGAGCGAATATGGGATTTTCTTTTATAGCGATTTAGAGATTTATTTGAGGAAGCTAAGCTTACTAAGAAACAGAAACTTGTATAGGGATAGTTGCCCTTCCAAGGAAAGCTAGTTTCATTCCAGCTACACAAGTCTAAGCTCTTCTCTCTCTTAATTGGTTTTTCCAAACGTTTATATCACATTTTTTCTATCTGCACTGCAGCCAGCAGACGCCGTCAAATTTAATAAAACTCACTGATTTTGATTGATGCGCCTCTTGGTCAGCAGCAGTTCCCGAATCGGAATCAGAATCACAATCATCGGTACAGAAGGGACAGCCCTGAAGCGTCAGCAAATATTGGCGGAAGGGTTGACACTCGACGGGGATGGGGGGCAGTGTGGGAGATCGGAAAACCGGGGTGGTGGTGGATGTGAAGTGCTCGAGTGCTTGACATGTGACATGGACATGTCGTCCAAGTGTCGCCGCGCTCAATTGAAACAAATGAAGCGCGAAAGTTCTCCAGGGAGCGAATCAGAAACAGGAAAGAGCAGTTGCAACTTGTCGCCGCCTCATCAGCGATCCATTATGACCACTATGGCCATCTCTTTTCCTCCATGTGACGTCCGTTGGGAAGTTTAGAGAGTGGAAAATCAGTTGAATTTAGGCAGTCGGATCGTTAAAAGCTAAAAATAGCTCAGCATATGCTGGGGAAAGACAATCATTGACAGGATCTGAATTCCTTATCATTAGAGTCACAAATTAAAGTGATATGATAAGCATGCCTTGTTGAAAGTATAAATCTTTTTTAGATTATCAGTTAGCTTATTTCTAAACTACTTTCAATCTTAAACTAACTTGATGTGTTTCTCAATTTCATTACAGTTAGACCACGCCGTTTGTCGAGCGTTGAGGATTTGACGCTGAGCTGTGTCTGGAAGGAAACGCTATCCGCTTTTCCGGCTCTCGAGGCGCCTCCCCGTGGAGTGAGGTGCAAGCGCAGAGAAGGTCAGCTAAGAAAGACCCCGAGTGGTTCCAAGTCACACAACCGAACTAAGCTAAGACGCACAAAATGAGACACAATCGACTGAAGGTCCTGATCCTGGGACTCATCCTCTCCCTGACATCCTGCCGAGCGGATGGACCACAGCACAGCGTAGATCATGGCATGGGTGGAATGGGCATGAATATGGGTGGACACGGCATCGACGCGAGTCCAGCGCCGGGTTACGGAGTCCCAGCCATACCCAAAGACCCAAATCTACGATGCGAAGAGATCACCATACCCATGTGCCGGGGTATTGGCTACAACATGACATCTTTCCCTAACGAAATGAATCACGAAACCCAGGACGAGGCGGGCCTGGAAGTGCATCAGTTTTGGCCACTGGTGGAGATCAAGTGCTCACCGGATCTCAAGTTCTTCCTGTGCAGCATGTACACGCCCATTTGTCTGGAGGACTACCATAAGCCGCTGCCCGTCTGCCGCAGTGTCTGCGAGAGAGCCCGTTCAGGATGTGCTCCCATAATGCAGCAGTACAGCTTCGAGTGGCCGGAGAGGATGGCCTGCGAGCACCTTCCGCTGCATGGTGACCCCGATAACCTTTGCATGGAACAACCTTCCTACACCGAGGCAGGCAGTGGCGGCAGCTCTGGCGGATCGAGCGGATCTGGCAGTGGATCCGGATCCGGAGGCAAGCGGAAGCAGGGAGGCAGTGGCTCGGGCGGCAGTGGTAGCGGTGGCAGTGGCGGATCAACCACCCAGGCGAAGTGCCGCGGACGCAATTCAAAAAACTGTCAAAATCCCCAAGGAGAAAAGGCAAGCGGAAAAGAGTGCAGCTGCTCGTGCCGCTCCCCACTCATCTTCCTGGGGAAGGAGCAGCTGCTGCAGCAGCAGTCGCAAATGCCCATGATGCATCATCCGCACCACTGGTACATGAACCTCACTGTCCAAAGGATCGCCGGCGTACCAAACTGCGGCATTCCGTGCAAGGGCCCCTTCTTCAGCAACGACGAAAAGGACTTCGCCGGCCTCTGGATCGCCCTATGGTCGGGACTGTGCTTCTGCAGCACTCTCATGACCCTAACGACATTCATCATCGACACCGAAAGGTTTAAGTACCCGGAGCGGCCCATCGTCTTCCTCTCCGCCTGCTACTTCATGGTGGCCGTCGGTTACTTGTCCCGCAACTTCCTGCAGAACGAGGAGATCGCCTGCGATGGCCTGCTCTTAAGGGAGAGCTCCACCGGTCCGCACTCTTGCACCCTGGTCTTCCTCCTCACCTACTTCTTCGGCATGGCCTCGTCCATCTGGTGGGTGATCCTCAGCTTCACCTGGTTCCTGGCTGCTGGTCTGAAGTGGGGCAACGAGGCCATCACCAAGCATTCTCAGTACTTTCACCTCGCCGCCTGGTTGATACCCACTGTCCAGTCCGTGGCCGTCCTCCTGCTCTCGGCAGTGGACGGAGATCCCATTCTGGGCATCTGCTATGTGGGCAACCTGAACCCGGATCACTTGAAGACCTTCGTCCTGGCCCCGCTCTTCGTTTACCTGGTCATCGGAACCACCTTCCTGATGGCCGGTTTTGTTTCCCTCTTCCGGATCCGGTCGGTGATCAAGCAGCAGGGCGGAGTAGGAGCTGGAGTGAAGGCGGACAAGCTGGAGAAACTAATGATCAGGATTGGCATCTTCTCAGTGCTTTACACAGTCCCGGCCACCATAGTTATCGGATGCTATCTGTACGAAGCAGCCTACTTCGAGGATTGGATCAAGGCCCTGGCTTGCCCATGTGCCCAGGTGAAGGGTCCCGGCAAGAAGCCGCTCTACTCGGTGCTGATGCTCAAGTACTTCATGGCCCTGGCCGTGGGCATTACCTCGGGCGTTTGGATCTGGTCCGGAAAAACCCTGGAGAGCTGGCGTCGCTTCTGGCGGAGACTCTTTGGTGCGCCGGACCGCACAGGCGCTAACCAGGCGCTGATCAAGCAACGGCCACCGATTCCGCATCCATATGCCGGATCTGGAATGGGCATGCCTGTGGGCTCGGCGGCGGGCTCCCTGCTGGCCACGCCATACACCCAGGCGGGCGGAGCCTCGGTGGCCTCCACCAGCCACCACCACCTGCACCACCATGTTCTCAAGCAGCCGGCGGCCAGCCACGTATGACATGGAGAGTCGGGGGGAGCATCGACCATGGGCGGCGGCGGGGGCGGAGGTAGCACCATAGGCGGTGGCACCCTGGGCCACGGCACCGCGATGAGCAGCAGCACGGTCGGCATGGGCCCTCTCCCCGGCACCCTGATGCATGGAGCCTCCGGCGGCGGAGTTGGCGGCGGTAATCCTGGCAATGTTTACGGCAATGGGAACAACGGAGTTGGCGGTCAGAACACCGCTCCGGGCTCCGTGATCGACTCCCGGGCCGTGTCCGTGGTGGTCACGCTGCCTGGCGGTCCGGGTGCTCAGCATCCGGGCCAGGCGCTCAGCGACTATGGTCCCATATAGTTAATGGTACGCCCGGACACCGCTCACTGGGTCTCGACCAGCAGTTTTAGCCAGCTGTAGCCGCTCAAGTTGGTCGACTCGCACGCCCGGCCTCTGTCTCACTCGCACTCTTAGGCTCTCACTTGCACACTCCATCCCCATCTCGCTCGCTCCCGCTGTCTGGGCCCGCCCCCCCCCCTTAGCAAAGGTTTTGAAGAAATGCCATATTAATTCGAGTAGCCGTAGTTTGTTTGTTGAGTGGAAAGCGCAACAGGAGGCCGTGTTTCTGTTTCCAATTTTGATTAAATTTTGAGGAAAAGGAAATCACGAAGTTACCAATTTTCATACCGTTTCCTTTCCGTTCTTTGGCAATCCTCTTTGAACTTCTTTGTTTAATATAAGACTTCCTTCGATTTCCTATTCCGATAAAATTTCTTATAAATTGGAAACTGAAACAAGGTCAAAAGTAATCATTATAGGTGTGGTAAAAACAACCAATCTGCATACAAGATTCTAGTCCAAAGAAACCTTTGTCTTCGAAAGCAGATGAGCACAGATGAGCTAAGGCGTGGCGATAGGGGTAATACCCAGAATAAATACAAAATATACGATCGAATCCAGTTGAAGCGCGTTGGTTCCACCTGTCATTAACTACTTTCCTATCTAAATATTCATAACGCCATCTTTTCTGTTGTTACTCCCCTCCACGAACACTTTCCTCAACGAAATAGACTGAGAAACGCAAACCATTTAAGTAACCGCCACGTAGAGCAACCGGGGGCTGAACAGCGAGCGGAATCTGCCCACACTGCCAAGTCAGAGCCACGAGCCATATTTCGAAATTACAACTAACTTTTAATCAAACTAACTACACTATTAACCTTAACCTAAACGTAAACGTAAACATTAAACATTACGAACGCATAAAGAAAAATGAAATACAAAAAAAGAGAAATGAAACACTTCGAATGCCCATAGAAAGTTAGTTGCGATTTTAGGGTTGTCGCATTATCAAAGAACAGGCAGTCAGTGTTGCCAGATACCATTTGTAAATTATTTAACATAACCTAAGGCATTATCCAACACTAAGTTTTGTACATATTTTCAAATCGCGCCTAGTTTGTAAACGTCTTTTTGTTCCCTGAAACTAAGATCTAAATATAGTAACTTGCATTTCAGCATCAAAAGCAACTCTGCATTTAAGCTCAAAAATTGAATTTAATTTTTACAAAACCCAAAAAAAGGAAAGATACTACCAAAACCCCTAATCCCCCTTCACCTTAAATAAAAATAAAAAAATAAATGAGTAAAGAAAAATTGCCAACTTTTGCAGCCGACGCAGGTCATTTTTTTGCATTTATAAAACAAGCAAAAACAAAAATTGTATAAAGCTAAAACGTTTATATAAGAGTATTAAATTAAATGTAACCCTAGTTGTAAACAAAAACAAAAACAAAAACAAAAAAGAAAAGGAAAACGGCAAAGTAAAGCAAAACGAAATATCTATCAAGCATTAAAAACTATTGTATTTAAATTTAATATTTATATTACATGGTAAAAGCAACAATTTAACTGTTAGCATTTCAAACCATTTCACATACGAAACAAAACAAGAACGAGGGGATGAACTTTACATTATAAATTATATGATATAGCAACAACTATGTGTGTAATGTTTTTAGCAACTATAACTATTTCTATACACAAAACGAGAAACATGCAAAAGCTGTAATAAAAACCATATACAAAATATTTCACTTTTGAGTTGATTTCTTATTGTTTCTACATAACATGATTTCCTTATGCATGCCAAGTAAGTACGTTTCCCACTTAAGTTGCTTTTTGTTTATTCTTTTATCTTGATTTTTATTGATTTAAAGCATTTACAAGAGAATCCCTCGAACACTTATACGTATCATTAAAACGAAGCTCTCCAAGTTAAGCAAGCCGAAGCAGAAAACAAAACCAAAAAAAGAGTAATCATTAATTAGCAAATTTCTCTACACGACGTACAATGTTTAATAAACATATTATACATATTGAACGCAAAGAAACAAAATCCAATACAAACACTTACGCGTACTATTTGATGTTGTTAATAAGCTTAAAGAAATATTGCTAGCTAGTAGCGTTTAGTTTAGTTCTCTAAGAGAAAGTTGGATCCCCCACAAAGGACTTTTGCATTTCTCCAACTTTAGTTCAAGGCGTAAATAGCTAACGCTTTTATCTATAAAAAACAAAAGCAAAAACAAAAACAAAACAAATATTAAAGGCTAAAGAGTGTAACGAATATACGTAAATGGGAAAACCAAATGGCACTTCAAATGGTAATACTCGTATGTAAAAATACATAATTCTCGACTCTAAACATTTTCCGTTGATTTTTTGTGATTGAAAACTTGAAAACTTATTTACTAAATTGACGAACCGAAATTGATTGCAATTTGCGAATGTATACGATTTTTTAATTTTAAAAACGAAAATATTTCATAACGGAGTGGATTATAGATCGATGATAGAGGTCAGGATTGAAAGAATGGACGATTGAGGGTTAGACGATTGATGGGTGATTGAGGGATTAGTTGAAGTTACACGGAAACCAGAAACTTGACGTCAAGTGTAGTTGTGAATTGTATTTTGTGAAATGTAATTTAATAATAAAATAAAACCAAAAAATAAAAACCAAATTATATATACACTACATATTTATATGAAGCTGAGAAGCTGGCAAGAGAATACTTTAACATGAAGTTCATGCAGATGCAGACATTATTTTATTTACAAACAAAATGCATTTTAAAAACATAAATCAAAACGAAAACGAAATCGAAGTAATGTTGTTGATTGTGAAACCATTTTTATGCACCCATAAAAATATACATACAATAACAACAGCAACACAAGTCAAGAATCAAACGCGTTAACAACAACAACAAAATATACGAAAAGCAGCAGCAGCAACAATAATATTAAATACATTTGTAATTGAAAGAGAAAAACCATTTAAAATAAAATTTAACAACGTAAGATGTCCACTTTGTTTTTATGGGAATGGGCGCAGGATCAATTGATTGTCCTAATGGTCAATCAAGGACAGGTCAATGGATTCCCAATCGGCAAAGGCCTCCGATGCCGAGCTGAGCTTTGTTCACTTTAAAGTGAAAACATTTAGAAAGGCTTTCTATTGGCGATTTAAATTTATGTTATATGGGAAATAAAATGATTTTAGAACTGTAAAGTACTGATTACCAGATAATGTGTAAGTCTGTTCTGTATTTTAATTGTAATAAAATTTCATTTAAGAAAAACTAAGCAAGGAAGGACCAGAACATTTGAATTTATAAAAATCTTGTTGCAAGGAATCTTAAAACTTATGTAAATTTGTCAGTGGAATGTGCCTATAACTAAGTGTAGCGATTTGAAAACAGTATCGCCCCACGTGGTGAAACCAGGGAACTGTTCGTTAACTTTATCCGCTAGATGTCGCAATTAACGTTTAGTCTACATGAAGTAACTAAGTAAATACATGTATAATATTTGAATTCCACATAATACCATCCACATCGTTTCTTTAGAGCACTGCTTTCCTTGGTTTTTGTTGTGCATCCCTGGTTTCGGGAACTGCTTAAATGCGATTTTAGCTGCAACCGTTGCCCGTCTCTCAATGAACTGCTTTCAAGTTCAACCTCTGGCGACTACCTTCAATCTCGATCCCTCTTCAACTTAGTTCGACTGCTTGAGCTCCATATAAGATGTTTTCAACCTCTGGCGACTAACTTAAATCTCGATTGATTTTCAACTTAGTTCGACTGCTTGAGCTCCTTCTAAGACGCATTGTCTTCTTCTACCAATAATATAACTTAATATATTAATTTGTATTTATATTATTCCAGCAACAGTGCTCTCTAATCTACATTACGTTTTTCATTAATTTTGGCTTAGCTTGTTAAATACATTCAATTGACAGTCTTTGCTTCTGCTCTCAGCTCATTTTCATTGTTTAAAATTTTATTCATCATTAATTCCATCCATTTATATATAAATTGAGTTTATGTAACTTATTATTTTCTTTTCAAGATTATTTCAACTCATGTGTATGAGTACTTACATATATGCATATATCCATGTTCTATATTCCACAAAAGAGGCTTAGTTTTAGTGTTTTGGTATTTTTAAAAAACTTAACGATGTAAAGCTTAAATAGTACCCAAAGGCTTATAGTACTCGTTAACATTCGCCTTTTTAAAACACTGGGTTTTAAAGCTCCTTAAGGATGTTAGAAAAGCTGTAAAGCTCAAATATTTGCGCTTCCAACAATAACAAAGTTATTCATCGTTATAGTTTAAAGTTAACAGGATGTATTAAGCAAACTGATAAATAAGGAAACAAATGAGTTTGATTAAAGTTATAAACAGCTAAATTTTAAAGATTTATTATTATTTTCAATGTTGAAGTTACCTAATAGTTTTTAAAAAGATATAAAAAGAAGTTTTATGGAATTGCTTCTTAACTCAACTACTACTTAGTATAATTTCTCCGGAGTTTTTAAGCCATTCATCACCATTGCCAAAAAATATGACCACTATCCAATTATTGCAATTATTTTTCAATTATAGACTTCCCATTGTTGTCGGACACTCCGCAAAAGGCCGTAGCGCCAAGGGCCTTGCCAAAGTATTAGGGCACGAGTTTTGAAAATTTCGGCTGCCTTGCCAGACGAAAACTTGCAAAATATATATATGTGCGATAGAGAGGGAGTGCTTACACGAATTATACTTATATCTACTTACCGACTTATTTTTAGTGCCAGCTGAGCGGAGTGCAGCCAAATAGCTGTGATGACCTTAGGTGCATAAATATTTCAGCCGCCTGCTGCTTGCTAGTTGCCGTTTTCAAGAGCAAGGCAAGGTCCCTGCGAAAACTGTGGAAGGACGTTGCATGAGCCACCCACTAGGCATGCCTCCCATAAGCTGGTCAACAGGTTGAAAGCGAGCGCAGTTGAGAACTTTTCGAAAGTTGCCAAAAAGTGAAATTAGTGCCCGCTGTCCGTTGTCCGCAGTCCGTTGTCGTGGCCATGAAAATTCAATTAGTATACGGGCGCTAATTAATGGCAAATTGAAAGCTTTCCACTTGTTGAGAAAGGTTTTTCGAAAATGCCACACAGCCATTGTCCAGGCATAAAAAACACACACGGCTCACGTGCTAAAAAGCTCCGCACGTGTCCTGCCGCACATGGAAAACGTTTGAAAGGATCCGGAAGGCTGGAGGGGAGGAAACACGGGGAAAGCTTTCACTGCCAATAGCAACAGCGTGCCCCAAACACGAGCTCCACGAGCTTTGGCCGACTCCAGAAACCAAAAAATCCTTTTGGCCAACAGTTTGTTGCTCAAGCTGTTCCCGAACGGACGTCTCCCCCAGAATTGTTCGCTCCCGACAGTTGAGACATCGATTCAATTCGGTTTCGGCCAGAAGTTCTCTTTACCAACCAAAAAAAAAGAAAAGAAATAAAAAAGGAGAAATAACAGAAACAAGTTTGGTGGGGAGTTGCTCCCCAAGTTCGAGGAGTGGAAATTTCTTTGCCATTTCAGTTCTAGTGTGTGTGTGTGAGTGTCTGCATATTTGAATAACACGACGACGATCAAAATTAAACAAAACCCACAAGAAACCACTTTTAAAACAGCGAAAAAAGGGAGTGAACTAAATTCGGGGAAAACAGTCGAACCTAGCCAGGCTAAGTCAGCTGCCAGGCCGAGACTTGTTACCACCATTTAGTTAGCCTGGAAACATGCAAAGCCAACATTAGATTGTGTCAGCCAGCTGACTTTAAATGGCAGGCCAAGACGGCTACATGACCAGCAGAATATAAAGTGTTTAAAGGTCTTAGGTCAGTAAACAACTTCGGTGCCATGCACTTCCCAAAGGAGCGTCTGTGGCATTTAATTAGCTAAGGACATTAACTCATCATCCATGCAGAGTCAGCCGTTTTGTTAGGGTCATAGGTTGGCAAGGTTTTGGTCAACTAGCAAGTTAACATAATAAAATAGTCAAATTAAAAGGGTTGTTAAAGCAGATTCTTTGAACTCTTTTCAATAATTTGCTTAAGAATTTCCCTTAACTTCTTTACAACTTTCTTTTTCCTTAATGCAAAAAGTTGAAAAATATATCAGAAAATTTTAACAGCTTAATTTAAGAAACCATAATGCTCATTCTGGAAATTTACAAAATTTTTATGATTTTAGTTTGAAAGATTTAAAAATGCTTTCTTATAAATGTCCGGAAACTTTGGCCCTCATTTTCTTTAGACCTTAGTAAAACCTTTTTTACTTTTGAAAGTGCTTTTAAATTGCAACTTCGTTACATAAATAATATTTGAACTCATCCGGAGAACTCTGTAAGATTTTAAAACACTAAGAAACAGTAGTTTAATCATGGCCAAAATTCAGAAGAATATAAAACTCAAGTTGCATAAAAAAGAATGTCCAAAATATAAATATTATATTTCCCCAAAAAAGAAGCTCGTGCAGTTAAAGACTTCCGTCTCCCGCAGTTTTATGAACATGCGAGGAGAAGGCTGGAAGAAAACTGCCAAATCAGCATTGATTCGAGGTCATGGGCCAAAAAGTTAAACAGGAACAATGAGGACCGTTTGACTCTGGGCTCCTTTGACTCGGAAATTCTATGGCAAAGTTAGTGAGATTTCCCCCAAGGCTGTGTGCTGCCATTCACACAACTATTCGCAGTTTTGTTAAGAGTTTAGCGAGACTATTTTGGGCAGAGCATTCAAAGTGGAGCCAGGGGCTAAGCCGTCCAAGGCCATCTGCATTTCAAATGACCAACGCAACAATGAAGGCTGAAAATCAACAAAAGAGGAGTGCCCCTAAAACAAAACAACAAAGAACAAAAAGCAAAAAAAAACAAAAAGCAGCAACATCGGCAGTGACAATAACAAAAACACAGAGGAGCCAACTGAGAATTGTCGCATGCAGGGTGGGGCCAACACACATAGACACACACATGCGAAAAGGGGGAGGCTACTTAAAAACAGCGCACACATGACGTCATTAAGCATATTAAATGAGTTTACAACGCGTTTGTTGCTGCACACAGAAAGAAATAGATTGCAATGTAGAAAGTCTAATGAAACTGAAAATGGGGTTAATAGTTTCTGAAGTCTTCTATCTCAGATATTTAAAAAAATAAATTACTCAGTAGGAAGTAGAGTGGTAGAGTAGATAAATTATTCCAAATATTCTGCTTTGAAATAAGAATCAGTTCCTTTACTCGGAAATCGTCATAGTTTTATATCCTGATCGAACATGGCATGGAAAGACATGTTAACGAAGGTAGATTTAAGTTTTTTAAAAACTATTTTCAAACCTAAAAGGCGTTTTTCAAGTAACTTTAGTAAGAACCATTTTAAACCTCTCTAACGAAAGTTTTAACTTAAAGAATTAGGTTTCTCTACAACAGTATCAGCCTTCAAGGAATACAATTTAAAAGTTGATCTACTTTGTCCAAGAAAGGTGCAAATAGTTTTTAAGAAAATCATAAAGACTTTAAAAATGTACGGATCAAATAATAACGAAGTTAAGAGATGACAAAAGTGACATTCGAAGACATTGGCATTTAAGAAAACAGCCTTAAACTGATTCAAAGGCTGCTAATCAGTTTAGTATGTAAATGTCCCCCTTTTTCTGAGTGTCTCGTTGCATGGCGCTTGTAGATGAGCAGCAAAACGGTAAAAGGCCATTAACAAACGCCTAATGGCGCACTTGAGACACTCTGCAGCCAGAGGGGCGTGGTAGGTGGATGCAGAGGAGCAAAGGGGCGGAGAAGCGTTATAGGGTTAGGCCAAAAGCTGATAATGCGAATGGATCTGCTGTGGAAGTCGCCTTAAATGGCCAAGCGGGGAAAACTGTTAACACTCTGCAACCCATTTTCCGTTCTCATTTGGTCTCATTTGCGCTGCGCTCGGAAATTGAAGTATTAAATATTTATACAGTGAACGGAAGAAATCACATAATCCTCGGCAATGTGTCGCGGTCATATACAAAAATGGAGCATCTAATGCACATGTGAAATGATCAACCGAAGGCCCATTTATCAGCATCCCCGAAGTGTTCTGCTCGGAAAAGTGTAAAAATAAACAAGCAACCGACAACTAACAAGCAAACAACGGCCATAACAATTTGTCAAGTCCACAACCACACACAAAAAATAACACACAAAGCAGGTGAAAATAAAAAAAAACGCGCTGCCGGAACGGCAAAAAACGCGCGCGTTTTAAAACGCCCCCGAAGCAGCCAACAAAGGATTATCGCGATGGCAAGGACCACGGAGCTGAAGCTGGCAACGGTGGAGCCTGCGAAATGGTAAGTGATGACTGACCTCTGTAACGTTGTATTCGATTTCGTAGCCGAATATTATAGCCTCTGAGACGTTATTGCTATGAAGGCCTCTATTTGATTTTCTTCTTTCGTTTCTCCTAAGACACTGTATATAAAATCGATTTAAATTTAGAAGAAGATATTCTGGGAATATGGTGTAAATTTATAATTAAATATAGACATTCAAACTTAATAATTTAAAAATCGTTTTCCCATTGAGTTAGTTTCTTTAAACTGATAAAATCTAAATCTAATAATTGTCTTAATAATCGGAATCTCCCGTAACAAACATGGTGGAAAGGCTGGGGTAGATAAATGATTTTCAAAGTGTATTTTTCAAACACTTACATTGTTCTTGGACGAAACCATACCATTATTATAAAGACATTTTAACTTATTTGTCAACTTTGAATATTTAAAGATATCCATTTTGTAAATCAGTTTTTAGTACGTGGAGATAAGCACAAGGCATAAATTGCAGCTCAACAACAACAACTTTTAACTATAAAAGCAAAATAAAGCTAATATTAGTAAATAGGTAATATTAAACAACCTACGAATACAAAAAGTTTCCTCACAAATGTTAGATTTTTAAATAGTACTCGACTTTTCCTGTTTCGGACGAGTTAGCAGTCATCCTGCTGTTCAACCTCGACTCCTCTTAACCAATCAATATTATCGAGTTAGCAAACGCGAATTGCGAGTTTGTGCCCGTGGGCGGGGCTTCGTGAGCGGAGGAGAAGGAGGGTGTCAGTGAGTAAGTGTTGTCTGAAAAAGCACGTGGAGTTTATAAAATATGCAGAGCAATACATATTTAAACAGCCCGGAGAGGCGGAGGCAGCTCATCCGAGCAAAAGATGAACATGTCGAAGCCAACGGCCATTGCTTTTGTTTTTTACAAGCCCACACGTACAGGTAACATGTGTGTGCGAATATTGCATATGTATATACCTTTCAGGCACCATATTCTATATGAAATTATGTGCTTGCTAAGGATTCCGTTTCGACCGTACAAAATCTGCTCGAACATGGAACTCTCTTAATATAACCGAGCTGTGCGCCCCCGGATAATGAAATAATAATCTGTATCACCGGTAAACAACCATTAACTAAATGGAGGATTAGCCAGGAATGTTCTTTGATGAGCTTAATGGAGTTAGCTGGAGTGGGCAGGTGAATTTAGCTGGAATTTTGCCGCTTAAGCGCTTTGAAGTGATTTCAATGGGCGCTTAACTTTGAGCTTTTGCTATTTGACATTTGGTTTGAGTGTTATGGTTGTCGTAAGCAAATTATAATAAAGTTTAGTAACCTTTGAATGTTTTCAGTAACAACTTTTTAAGTAGTTAGTTTGTAAAGGATTTCTATGTCTTACCTTTGTTAAACTTGGCGTTACTTATGAGTAAAATCCTTTAAGCTTTGAGAAATAAATCACATTGGATTTTGATTGAATTTTTTGAGTAATAAAAGATCCTATAAATCCCAAATAGTTTACTGAATAAGTCAAAGTGAAACCTGTGTATTTAACTTCTGTAATCTTCTTTCAATACCAACAATTTATGTAACAAAGTAAAAACCTGTCGCTGCAACAATGTAATCGCCTTTCCATAAAACGATATTTACATAAATACTAAAGCCCCATTTCCATACAAAAAGGCGCCTCGATAAGAGGCCAGAAATAAATATTAGCATTCAACAGCTTTCATTTGAATAGACATTCAAATTCTGCCAACCATAAATCCGATGCGGCATTGTGGCATTTAAATCCATAAGGCCGACGTAAACATCCCGAGAAGATGGGATTCCATTGTTGTCGCTCTGATTGGCAGTAGACACGGGGAAATCTGATACCGAAACACGTCGAAGCTATGCAACTTTTGGCCAAAAATAGCTGCAGGAATAAATAGCCAGAGTCGCGGAAAAGAATGTGGAAAAGGCTTTGTGCGGGCCAGGGAGTTGTAATTAAAAGGAAATCCATATTCATTTCGTGAAAGCAGCCGCAGCGAGGCAACAAAAAATAAGAGTGGCATGCACGGCGAAGGACGAAGGACTTGGAAAAGTGGGAAGGTGGCAGTGGAAGGGGGATATAGATGGATATGGGGAAAGAGGCCCCGAGTGTGGCATGTCTCTTTGTGTATTTGTCAGTCTGGCTGGAACGACACCGAAGAATGCTGACAGGAGCATTCCTGGTCCCTGCTTTCTGGTCCTTCTGCTCGGCAGGAGATGGCTACGTGATACAGAAAGCCACATAATCCACATGCACTGAGGGAAAAATTATAATTAAATAAATATTTATATATCAGAAATTATTCAAAAAGAACTTCACCTTATGTCCCTTCTTAATAGATAACTAAGCGTCCTAACTATGCTAAACTGAAAAGTATGAAAACTCACCTCCTCCTCCTCACTTTACGTATTTAATCACTAACATATTCCAAACCTTTTCCCAGTGTTTAGATAGTTTGGGGAGCCTTCATTTTTAGGCACGCTGCCATCTCCAGTGCGACCCGCTTGCATATTTGTTTTCACTCGAAAGCATCGAGGTCTGCCGAGGGTCTGAGGATTTGGCTATGGGGCTTTCTGTCGGCCTATTTTGTGGCCGCCGCTTTGCATGTTGCAAACAATTTTCCAGAGCAGCGGCAGCAAAGCGGCAAAATGTTCGTGCGACTAATTTGTGAAAAAAGGAAGAAAGCAGCCTGGCCAAGCAAAAACAACAACGCCAACTGGCACGAGACGTTAAAATCAACGGTCCGTGTCCATTAAAACGGGGCCAGAAAGCAGAAAAAAAACACACACACAAAAATATTATAAGCTTCTGCGTTCCTGTTAATGAGAAATAATCACAAGAGAAAAAAACATCAGCGAAAAAGGCGAGCAAGCGGCGGCACATTTAATGCGCCCGTGCGAAACATGCCGGATATATGTACAGATATACGACTATATACGGGTATATAGTACATGCTACATAGTACACAAACAACCAGAGCCAGAGCCAAAAGCAGAATAACCTTTTGCGACAATCGGTAAACACACAAAGCTAATAAAAAACTGTAAAATATTCAACAATTGGCAAAGCTTTTAAGAGTCTTACAGACGCCCCTGATATTGAAATGTAAACCTCGCAATTTTCTGCCCCACAGCGGGCGCCGAAAAATATGCTACCCATAACGCCACAGAGAAAATTATGGGTAAGTGATAAAGTGGGAGAGGAGATAAATAAGTGGCGCATGTTGAGCAAAATGAACTCTGGGGAGAGGGAAAACGAAAGGAGAAGAATTTTTTTTGGCTCTTTACCAAACTGATTTTGTAAGCTTTAAGAGGGCAAGGATTCTTAAGGTGAAAGAAGTGCTGGGGAAATCGTGTGGAAGAATTTGAATATTAATATTATTATATTAGGTGAAAAGAATATTATATTAATATGGTATAAAGTATTTATTAGCAAAAATAAATTCTTAAAATGTTATTATCTATGAATATTTTACAGGAATTTGTATTAAAAAAAATGAAAATTTAATTGAAGGAAAGACCTGCTTATTAATGTGCCTTTAACAAGACTACAAATATTGGCTAAGATTGTTGACTACAATATTTAAAAGCAATGAAATTCTTTGAATTTCCACTCGGAATAGGCCTCTGCTGTTATCTCTTAATCAGGAAATTGGTAGTTGTCTTAAGTATGCGTTTACCATCAATCACCGCACCACCGCCACCTTTCGAAGTCGTATATTATCTTTGTTATTTATGAAGGTCGCCCGAAGTAGCTCCATTTATAAATAGTCCCGACTCAGGAGCGTTCTTCTAGCTGAGATTATTATGGCTAGGGCTTTGGCCATAAATTACGCAGCCAGAACAATGCTCTCGCACACACACACAGCCGACGTCGACTGGCTTAAGGTAATTCCCCGCGTTTATAATGAGCATAAAGGATAACCGCAACAAAGCCCAAGGAGGAACGGAAGTTAGAAGGCTCCTTCTTATACTTCTTACTTCTCATGGAATATGCGTAGAATTATGATCTAACAAAATTGCAAATTAATTGAAATGAATGGGGAGCAGGAAAAGTTTTTTGTAGCAAAGCAAAGCAAACAGCAGCCGGGGAAAAACAAGTGGGAAACAAAAGGTAAACATTTCAATTATGTCGCTGCGGCTGGGAGAAACTTTTTCGTGCTAATTAAGCTCAATGGGTGCTGCGAGTGGAGCTCCAGTTCCAGTTCCAGTAATTAGCCGACAGAAGTCTAAACAAAGCCAGCAACTCGAAAGCAAATGAGCCGAGTTGAAATGGCAGGGTGGCAGGCAGAGAGGGAAAGGTGGAAAATGGCGGCAAGAACAATGGCAGCAGGCCATTTCCGGTTTGTTCATGTGTGCCGTCGTTTTCCACCGCCAGTGGGCGCTCGAGTGTCCCACTTCCGCAATCCCCTCACTCATCCTATCCTTTTTTTCTGTTCGTTTGTGTTGGTGCTGTTTGCCTTCGTGTGGGTGTCGCAGCAACAGTTTGTTGCTTTGTTTGGCTGCTTGTTTGCCAAGACAACGACACGCTTATAAATTTTTAATTAAATTGTTGTTTTCCAGTTTGTCGCCGTTGTTTTTGCTGTTATTGTTGGGTTCTATCTTGGCACAGGAAATCGCATTGATTGTCCCCTCTCTAACAAGTGCGTGTGTGTGGGTGGGTGTGTTGGTGTTAGTATCCATATCCTTTGTTTGGCAACGGGTTTGCTATAGCTTGTGCAATCGCCTGTCCATACTCGATAGCTTCTCCGGGGCAAATTGAGTTGTTTAACTTGCAATCGAACCGGGCCATGAGATTAAGTGGTAGAAGTCCGGAAAGTTTAACCTTTGCCAAGAAAATCGGATGGCATTGAAAAGTGCCTGGGAACTGCGGTGGCTGGCTCAAAGCAACGGTGGGAAAAGCTTTAAAAGTCTTTATTAATGTTATATAAATATATAGAAATTAAAAGGTCATCTAACTATAGTTTTTAGTTTAATGGCATATTAAAAAATTCCAAAAAGAACATGAGAAAATTGCAGAACATATTTCAATTTCGATCCGAATAAAAACCTTCACACTTTGCTGACTATTATCCCTTTGTATGAAGAACGCACTAAAGTAGTTTATCCTGCGCACACATGTCTAGACCATTAATAACAAATTTATTATGTATTCCCTATCAGAGCTCAACCGAAAGCTAAGCCAAAACCCCATCGAGACCATTTACATGTCTGAACAATTTTTTGTTCGGCTTGCCTATGACAAATTAACTTATTTAGTTGCGGCAGCAGCGGACTGTCGTACGAAATAATTTATCAAATTCCTATATAAATTATTGATGTCCTCGCTGAGGACTGACTTTCACTGTGTGGGTGTTTCCGTGTGTGCCTCTGAGTGGGCGGGTGATGCATGTGTGAGAGCTGGCACAAGTGCCCACGCCCACACAATATTTTCTGGCTCCTGCTGCAAGGCGAATGAATAAAAATTGCCATCAGGCGTAGGCGTAGTGGCAAATGCCAATCACGGGCATTAAGTCAGTGGTAGAGGCTCGGAGGTGGATTTTGGTGCTCCATTCTGGCTAGGAGGTTTAATGAGCTAGCGCCGGGCATGGGGAAGGTGGAGGTCCGAGCCATAACGGCAAATCGGGGCCAAATGATAAATGACAGTGCAGTCGAGGCCCCTCGAAATTAACATAATTTTCTCCTTTTAATTGGCTGATGGACGAGATGTACACTGAAAATATTGTGTTCGTTTTTGTGCACGGCAAAAGCTCTTATAACCTGTGTTACTCATGCGCAGCGTTGCCCCTGCTTTTACTTCACTAATAGAAAAGTTTCCTTGAATTTTCCTCTTTATGTCTTAGGCGAATTTCTCCCAGTGCAGAAAGGGCAAGGAGCAGCTACCGTCGTCGGTTAGGCTTGTTTGCATTTGCGTTGGTGTTGGTGTTGATGTTGGTGTTAGTGTTAGTGGTAGCTGGCGTTGCTGCTCCTGTGGTGCCGTTGCCATTCCCATTGCCTTTGCTTCTGCCGGTGCCGGGTAATTTTGCATGCAAATAACTGGAAATTAGTGTAAGTGCTCACTGACATGCCACACACAGAGCACCAAAGCCAGTGCCAGTGCCTGTGTCTCGACCGGGTCTCCTGGATCCTTAGCACCTCCGCTCCTCCGCCGCTTCTTGTCAGGATCCCTGCTGCCTTCACAGAGCTTCCAGCTAGGTGAGCAGCCCAAGGAAACCCCACAGCCAATGGTAGCGACGGAGATAAACAGACGATGGCACAATAAAGTGGCAAACGCTTAGGAAAACGACTTGGCGCAGGGAGAAAATTCGGAAATTCGAAAATAAAATGTTGCTTTTTGATAAATTGATTGCCCAGCTCTTAGAACATTACGAGTACATTGTAAACACTTATTTAATTTATATTCTGCTTTTTATCGAAATTCTATTTGGGAAAACAAGATTAATAATTGAACTGATTAACATTATTAAAGTTGGAGGAAAGATAACTTGGATGAGTAGAAAATAGTTTCTTTCCAAGTTCACTTAAAAAGGTAAATATAATATTTGAACTTTACTATGTCGAATTTAAGTTCATTTTCTCTCAGTGTCTGAAGCTCCATGTGGGCGTTGTATGGCTGCATATCTAAATCGACTCCACAGCCACTGGCAATGCAACTTTCTCAGCTGCTCGCTGTACTGGAACATCAGCGCTTTAAAATGCCATTAAAATGCAATGAGCGCTCAAACGTTTTATGCCACGAGCTGAACCGAGCTTAGCCCGGATTTAAAATTGCAGTCGGTTAACCCGTCGAGATGGAATGGAAACGGAAGTGCTGAGGCGTCGGCGTGGAGATGGTGTTAACATAATTATGAAACTTGCCTGAGTTACCCCATTTAATTGGAGAAAATGCCAAGCAAGTTAGCAAAATCCTGGGGAAATCTGTAATATTGCATGGTATATATTAGCATTTATCGAAACTGAATAGGTTTATATTATCTGAGTTTTAGTTTAAAGGTATTAATTATAAATAATAGCTACCATACTAGTAAGCTTAACTTGTGCTCTTTCTGCACAAGAAAAGACACTGTAGGTTGTTAAACATTCCGCTAAAGTCCGCTTTAATGCAAATTCCTTAACATTTTAATAACCATGAAAAAATATTACTCTTTCAAATGTGGCTTAGATCCAGCGTGAAATTATTCAAAAAATTCCTTTAAAATATTTGGAATTTTCTATTAATGGTAGAACAAATTAGCAATATCTGCTAGTCAGAAGCTAAGATAAATAAACTATTTACAAAGGTTGTGTAAATTGCAAAGGAATTTTCATAATCTGATGCTATAATAAAGTGGTATTAAGGGGTATTAATTCGTCTAGACTCTTTGCTTCATTCCCACATTTTATGAATATCAACTTATTAAGTGTACCTAATCGATTTATTTCGCCTCTGTAAAACCAATCTAAGACTAAGAACCTATTAGTTACTGCCATACCGTAGAAATGGTGAAACGATTTCTAAGTTGCATTTTCTTGTTGCTGCTGACAAAACCTTTTTATGGAATTAAATTCGAACTGAATCTGATAAAGCACATAAGCAGTAGGCACATGTCGAAGAACTTTGTGATCTCCCCATTTGCTATCCACCAGGCAATTACCCTTCTTTATATGGGCAAGGATAAGCACAGGGATCCCGAACTGGGCAAAGCTCTTCAGTTAGTTGGCCGTCGGACTGACAAGATATTATCCTTTTTCGAAAGAGCCCGCACCAAGGCGATTCAACAAGACTTTGTGATGGCAAATCGAATTTATTTATCACCGTATTACAACGAATCGGAACACATGAGAAGCATTAGTGGAGGTCTTGGGGTTGAAGTGGAGAACATACCGTTCTCAGAAGGCAGCACGTCAGGGGATGAGATTGAGAAGTGGTTAAATCAAACCATTGATAAAGGTACTCGTAGTCACCTATTTGTCAAGGATAATTTAACCGAAGTCACACAGCTAGTGGCAGTGCAGGGAAACTCTCTATCGTGCACATTCAAGCATCGAATCAAATCGCAGACGACTATGTCCTTCAGTATCCCGATGCATAATAGAAGACCCTATGTCTATAAGGTCCAAATGATGTACACCGTGGCGCCCCTTGAGTTTTTCAACGAAGACGAAGTTCGCGGTGTCATGATACCATTTTCAAAGACCGATATCGGAATGCTGGTCCTAATTCCCAGACGATTGGGCACCCAGAGAATACTTTACAATCTGGATAAATATTTGCAAGTCCCACTGCGAAAAGCGGAGAAAACGCATTTGTTTTTACCCATATTTAGCGTCCAAGAAACGGTCGACTTTAATTTGGCCCTCCACTCATTGGGCATCAACCACGTCTTTATTAACGTTACCCACCACGACAGGAATGAGAATGCTGCTTACTTTAAGCAATACAATAATCTGGAAGTCAAGCCAAATCGGGTGTTAAGTAAGTTAGTTCTCAGAAATCCAAAAGAGAGCTTAGTTTGATATGCAGAAACCAATTTGATAAACATCTCACGATTAAGAGTAATTTAATAACTTTAATTACAGTGCAATCGGAAGTCGGGGCCGACAATGACCAAAGGGTGGTGAATGTCAACCGGCCATTTGTGTTCGTTATCAAGGATGAAAACACCATTTACATGGTTGGGCGAATGGATTCGGTTTGAAAGTGCAGTTGCTGGAATTTCCAGTGAAATGTCAGCTGAATTGTAAATTAAATTAACTTGAATTAATCCAAACAAGAACCGCACAAAACTGTGTTTATTCCGGCCATTAGTGTGGCAGGTTGGCGAGGGGCTATCCCACAATTCCCCGATGGCATTGTTTACAACGTTGCCGCGCATATTAATTGCCTGTTTAAGCAAATTGAGGCCACAAAACATCAGCATCAACGTGGGTTTCCAGCTCCTGTTCCCCTTTTTTCGTTTTCCTTTTTTTTTTTTGTTTTTTCGTTGCTGTGTGTGTGTGTGTTTTTGGTGCCCCGTGGCATTCCACAATTACTCGCAATTGCGATTGCGGTGCCAACGAAGCCAAATGCTGACAATTGCATCATGGCAGCCGAGTGGCGACCCTCCTTGCATACTGCAACTGCATAAATTATAAGACTGGGGCAACGGAAACCGACGCTGATTTCCCACAACCCAGCTGTGCCACAAAGACATTGACGACAGCTCTCTAAGAGCCAGGGCTGCTCTGCCGGATTCCAAATGCACGGAATTAAGGATGTGAAAACTGGCAGGAGGTCTCCGGAGCTGCCAAGCACGGCTTTGATTTCGGGTTAGCTGCCACAGGTTTTAACGTCGAATGAATGCAGCTATCGAATGTTGCAATGAATTATTTAAACCCTTGTTTAACCAACCGAAGCTTTGCAAGACATTGCCAACTAATTGACCGAGAATTTCAAATCCGTTCTCTATATTTTCACTTTGAAGACGAAGAAATATTCTGCTTTATATTGAAAAATTTAATGGTAAAAGAAGATGTGGGTTTCAGAGTGCATTCATTCTGTTAAAATGTATGGAATATTGCATATAAAATATTGATAAAGGATAGACTTTAAGACTTAGTCACAACTGTTTCCCATTACCAAGCATATTAATAAATAACTGATATCCAGTAGCTAACAATCCGAATGTCCGTGGAGAGCAATTAACCTAGAAAAAGTGCCCTAATTTACGGGTCGTGTAAGTTCTTACACAACATGACATTGCTCATACGCTCCGCTGGCCGCACAATCACAACAAACTTGCATGCACCAAGTACTTTTATTGGTTAAAATAAAAACCGATGGCGCCTACGTTCCACATCGCCAGCAGGACTGCTGCCCCGGCAGGAGTAAGTGGTGTTTCCTCGGGGTGATTGCTGCCACGTAGAGCTTATAAAATGCAACAGAGTGCAGCGACATCGACATCGGCATCACCAGAATGCACAAATGAAATTTTCCAGAGCCAAGGACCACAGATGGTGGGAGCAAAAAGGTGGATCAATTTGGATTGGGTTGAAAGCTAGGAAGGTCAGCTAGGAACCAGGAATACTGATCAAATTTAACTTTTAAGTTTGACTGAACTATTATAAGTATTTATTTGAGGGCAGTTACGAAAGAGATTGATTAGTTTGTAATGCTATTTGGGGAATTTTGAAACTATATATGAAGTTTCATAAAACTACATCAAGTTTGTTGGTACTCTTTAATTTAAAAATGGTAACTAATAAGGTTTATTTCGAATATTTTAAAATCCCGTTTTTTTTTTTTGACATTTTCAACTTACTGCCCCTTAAATAAATAATGTACAACTTGATATTATTGATTCATGTTAAAAAACTTATAAAACCGCAAGAAACAAGTTCCAAGTAACTATGGCTAAGAAAACTCACACCTAAATAATTGTGTGGGGGTTCGCCTTCAAAAGAAAAAGTCGTGAGAAAAGTCAAATAACCCACGAATCGGAAAAGTTTGATGAGAACAAATGGAAACAATTATAAGGCAGACAACGACTAGAATCGCCGGCTTTGTTCTCGTGCTTCAACTTTATCCTTGGCTTTTCCTTAGACCCTCCTTTGCACAAAAGTTAAACTCACTTAATTGAATTGAATGCCAAACATCGACGTCGATGGGAATGGGGACGAAGATGAGAATGAGAATAATCATGATGAAGGCAAAGTGCACTCGAGTGCAAGTTATTCAGGCAGCTCTTCAGGCAGCTGGCAATATGGCAAATGGATTTGGGTAACAATGGGTTAGACTATAACTGCCAGCTCTTCGTTCGAATGGCTAAAAAGGGCGAAGGAGGAAGTGTATTAGCGTGTCAAAATGACATAAACTAAAATCACATTTTAGCCCATTGTTTGTCGTAGAGACATGACAGGAAAGGGCATAAAAACGATAACCGACAAGCGAATTCGAAATGGCAAACTTTCACGTGTCTCGAAGAAAGTCACAGAAAATCTTTATCTACGCATTAGCATTAAGTTAATTTTTTTTACATGATATAGCTAGTAAAACACACTTCGATCGGTAATCTGTTCTTATGGCCATTAAATATATATTCATTATGATATTCCATATGTAAAGATATCGAATATGTTAAGACTTAGGGAGTCTAGACTAGACTCCAAAGAACCACTCACCTACTTAAAAATTATTACAACAATCTCTTGACTCAATTCTCCAACTGAACTTCAACTCTTCAATCCACCCTCGCCCAACTGTTGACTCTCACCTGGACTGCAAAAGTTATCCTTTGTTTTCGCCCATTTTTTTTATTGAATTTTCACACGACTCCGAACCGTCGTCTAGTTCACAGACCCTCATTTCCCCTCGCCGGCAGATCGACCCACAGCTCATTTAACACATTGACTTTTGGCTTATTAACACCGGGCACCGGGACACAAAGGAAGGGTCAGGTTGGCTGCTTAACTAATGGACTGGGCATTAAATCGAATACGCTCGTTATACACATGACTTCGATAATAATCGATAATGATTTGTGTGCGTAAATCAGGGGAATCAGGAGCCGCTGCCCACGTGCCGTGACTCGAGGATTATAGTAAATGCACATGTTATGCCGGATAACTCCGTTTTCACGCCCTTTGACCTTAAGCCAATTTGGGATATATTTTTCGTTAAATTAATTGTATTTAAATTATGTTTTCTGTCTGTGTACAGATTAAAGAGATTTGTAAGCTCAAAGAGGTAATTATATTTCGTGGAATTAACATTTCAAAATACTAAAAAAAGATCCTTTCAAATTTGGAAATAGTAAATGAAATTCTATGAACACCAAATCTGAATAGTACAATTTCCTTAATTCGTAAGACATTTTAATATATCTTAATCATGCCTTAGAAGCAACAAATGAATAAGAATCCAAGTTATATCAAAACTTATACTCAAACTAAGCAAAGCTTAATATCTAAAAGAGATCTGGCAATAAACATGAACTTTAAGGTACTAAAAGCCGCAGTTTATTAAACAGCCCATTCCATTACAAAAAAACATTGTAATTTGTAATATCTATCATCCTGGCAAACCACTCAAGTAGTTTCTAATGTTTTAAAACTCAACAATTAATTTTGTGTGCGTGCCACAGTGCGTTTACTTAACGCGTGCTCCCCATTTTTACGGCCATCGACTTCGACTGCTAGTTCTTTTCAATTAAAAACTTATTTGGCACATTTCAAATGCAAAACTAGAAGCGGTCTAGTAACTTTTGTTTCCCCGACAATTTGTGGCTGCTCTTTGGCAAAGTTTCGCCCTGCAAAAGTCGCGTTGTGCTACGCATAGAAATTGAGTTGCCCTCATTGTTGGCTCTATTGTTATTGTTGTGGCCACAAAATGGTTGGCGCACAACAACACTTAAGCTTAAGTGACTGCTCGAGACTTTGTGTTTTTTTTTCTGGTCACAGAGTGAGGAAGAGAGGGGTGCAGGGTAAACCTTGTAACTGCGTGACCGGAAAGTGTTTGGCGCTTCCGGTTGCCGCAGCCACCGAAGCGCCCAAAACCATCGCAGCAGCCAAAACCACGGCGGAAGTTTTGCCACGTAGACAATGACACCCATACAGCCACAACGACGAGTGCACGTGCACAAATACAAACCAGGACGAGTACTTGTACCTGGCTCGAAACCGAAAATTATTAAGCCCCAGCGAACTTTTGATGCTCTGACTATGCTAACTTTACAGTCTTCTTTCAATTTTCATTGAGTACTCCAGGTTAAGATAAGTAATGAAAAGTAGTAGGTGTTAAAGGAAATATTATATTCTAGGAAGTAGCATTTATAAATCGAAAAATACCAAATGGCAGGGCTTTCAGTGCTACAAATATATCCTTTATCTATCTATATCTTATCCTCATCATTAAAATTTCTTTCCAAAAAGGAGCTTTCATTTGCCTAACAATTTTCACCCTGATTGGTATCAGGTAGAATTTAAAACATTAATCATATTTTATTGAACTTATTTTTCGATTGAAAGTAACCACAAATTGTCAACTAGACTTGCGAAACTTTAAAAGTAGAGTTTAATTCTCCTAAAACAACAACTCAAATTTATGACCAAACAAAATTTCAATTTAAAGAGCTAAATATATACTACATGACAGTTAATTACCCGACAGTTTATCGACTAATAACCAGATTATTATCCTGGCCAAGTCAAGTGGATTCAAAATCAACTTCAAGGAGCTCAGAAATGTAAACAATGATAGCATCTCAGCCTTGCCTCGCCTGTCCGAGTGTTTTAGACAAGAGCATTTCGATGTCAGTCAATTCGGAAAATTCTTGTCCCCTTGACCAATACCCCAGAAACTGAGAAATGCCCCTGGAACGGGAAAGGTAGTATAAAACAACAGCTGTTATCCTAAAAATGGAGTGGATTTTCGAAAGTGGAATGCGACAAAAAAAAAAGCGGACAACAAAGGACGGGAAATCCCCGACGGACACCAGAAGCTAGCAACGGCTTTCAGATGCAGATACAGTGCTCTAGAAACAGATTGTTCATAGGCAGCAAAATGTCACGTTTCGACCGTAAAATGTGCTAAACTGTTAATACGGCAAACACACCATAAGCGAAATCAAATAACAACAAGGCCGGAAGGAGTGGGCCAGCCATTGGACATCCCTTTCACGTTTCGCTGGCTTCGCGATTTTATGCAAATTCCGCACTGAGA